AAGATTTCATGTATTGACCTCAAACTTACTGTGTAGGCAAGGATAACTATGAATCCCAGATCTTCTTGCCTCTACTTCCCAAGTGAGATAAATTACTATTTTTGTTTTTGCTGCGTTAGGGGTGGAACTCACAGACTGACGCATGTTAGGCAACTCTTTCACCACCAGACACATCCCCAGGTCCAGTAAGCAGATTATTGAGAATGTCTTGTAAAGTGTTCCTGTTTTTGACGACTTTTATTTCTTCTATCTGCTTAGTGGTGAAGTGTGGATAAGCCGGGGAATTCATGTGTTAACTTCTGTTTTCTTTTCTTGAATGTCTAAGTATAAATTCCAGAGAAGAGGCCAGATGTTTTAGGAAGAAATGAAAATTTGAACATACAGACCACATTAAAAACCTTTTATGAATTGCCAATTAATCTCACATTGTCAGTGTTAGACAGCTGTATTAAAATTCATTCACCCAAGTAAAAAAATTAAATTATAGACCCTGTAGCCGATTTTCTCCCATAATTTTGGTGTGAGAAATGATTAGATGTATTAGCTCATGTGGAGTAGTCTATCTTCTAAATTATACATAACAGTGCAAAAATTGTGAACAACACACAAATGCTGTGCTGACTAACAAGACACAAAGATGGAAAGGGCCGAAAACTATGACTCTCGGCAGAGAGACTAGGAATTTGGAGATAGGATTTGACTTTCAGTTATGGTAATAGCTACTTGACATTGAGCTAGATGTTTGACCTGGAATTTTTTTTTCAGGCATAAAATTAAACAGCTAGACAGGATGATGTTGTTAGACCCCCGGAAAACTCAGCCCTCCGGGTCTCAGCCCAGGATCGTGGTCACCCCAATCACCAGGCAGATTCGAAAGCTTGATGCAGACAGCATGAGGCTTTATTGTTGTTTAACGAGCTAACCTCATGTTAGCTCGGTTCTTTCACCCACCCGCCATGGTGGATGGCTAGCAAAGACAGCTCGAACCAGCCGCAGAGAAATCTTGTAGGGCAGCATAAGGGGAATGTCTAGGGGTATGCACAGGCTCAGGATTGGTGTGCTTCCAGGCTTGGAGGGCTTGCCCTGTGTTGATTGGCCAGTTGGTTGTTATGGCCCATAGGCCCTCTCAAGGTGGTTGCTATGCTCTGCGTGTCATTGCTGTGCGCTTGTCCGTAAAGCACACCCAGAACTGTAAAGCATACCACCACCAGCTAACTTCTGATTGGTTCCTTGCCACGAGGCAGGCACCTAACCTCTAGTGACCAAGGCAAGGTCAGAAAAGCACGTGTTACTGTCATGGCTGCCGAAAGGGGCAGGCATCTGACCTTAGTGACTAAGACAAGGTCAGACAAATATGTGTTGGGCTGTTATGACTGCCGAAATGAGGAGCTGGTCCCTTCAATGATAATATATATATATATATATTTATTAACAGAATTAATATAATTCTGTTATTTGACCAGAGAAACAATCAAAGAGGGTATATTTCAAATGTAAAGACACAGATGAGCTGGACGTCAGAGTGGTACCAGTGATCCGGCTGAAGCAGAGAGAAGGACTGTCTAAGGACTGTCTAAGGACTGTCTAAGGACTCATCATAGGTAGGGAGAGAAGCTAGGCTGGAAATGTGTCTTTACCACATGGCATCGTGTACTGCACGGTTAATTCTCTTTCATTTCCTCACCTGCAAAGCAGAAATGTGCCCCACAGCTGGCCATAGCAAGTCCATCATGCCTTCCCTTGTCTATGAAAGCTCGAGTTGTGCTTGTTGTTTGATTTATCGAGACAGAAACTCAAATAGCTAATCCATGACTTTGAACTTGGGATCTTCTTGCTTCTACCTGAATGCTGGGACCCCATGCCTACCTTTCAGTGTTCAGTGTTCCTAATAGAGTGTGTTTGGAAAGTGAAGAAACCGAGAAATTCCTTCATTTCTTCCTGTTTTCTTTTCTTTTATTGTTATTATTTTTTGTTTATTTTTTTGAGACAGGATTTCTCTGTGTTGCCCTGGCTGTCCTGGACCCCACTTTGTAGATCAGGCTGGCCTTGAACTCACAAAGATCTGCCTGCCTCTGCCTCCCGAGTGCTGAGAATAAAGCCACCACCACCTGGTTTCTTCATTTATTCCTCTAAATTAATTTGTGAAAGATATTGCAAATCTATCATTTTTTTCCTCTCTTTGAGACAAGCTCTGGGTGTATTCCAAGGAGGGTTTGAATTAATGTAGCTAAGGATGGCCTTGACCTTCAGATCACCTGGCCTCTCAGAGCATGTGCCTTTAAGGTCCAGCTTGCAAATCCGTCTTAAAAGTAAAAGAATGAGCTGGCTAGAGAGATGTTTCAGTAGTTAAGGACCCTGGATGCTCTTCCAGAAGACACAAGTTCAATTCCCAGCACCCACATGGCTGCTAACAACCTTCCAGGTCCATGGGAATCAGATGCTCTCCTCTGACCTCCATGGGTGCCAGATATGTGCTGGTTCATAAAATAATTAAAAAAAAGAAATACGCCGGGTGTTGGTGGTGCACACCTTTAATCCCAGCACTCGGGAGGCAGAGGCAGGTGGATCACTGTGAGTTCGAGACCAGCCTGGTCTCCAGAGCGAGTGCCAGGATAGTCTCCAGAGCTACACAGAGAAACCCTGTCTCGAAAAACCAAAAAAAAAAAAAAAAAAAAAAAAAAAAAAAAAAAAAAGACCTCCAACACAGTTTATGCTTGGGGTTTATCCTAAAGAAGCAACTATTGATGCTCTGAGAACACCATCTGTTTCTTCTTGTTCTTTTCGACCTTACATGGCTTTTGTAACCAAGTCCTCATATTAAATACCCCTCTGAAATATCTGCAGTGATTTCAGATATCCAGAATACATAATGATAGATTCAGTGAATATTTATTATGTAAGAGCTTTTCTGTGCCCTCCCACCCATAAGTTTCTCTGTCAGATCAAACTGAATTGAAAAGGTATAACAGCAGGTATATTGAGCAAAGCAACTCCCAAGCGGGTTCATTGGTCTAGAGTTTCTCTGGGTAACAACCCTGGTTGTCCTGGAATTAGCTTTATAGACCAGTCTGGCCTTGAACTCACAGAAATTCTCCCGCCTCTACCTCCCAAGTGCTGGGATTAAAGGAGTGCACCATCACTGCGCAGCTGAGACCTTGGATTTAAAAAAAAAATGTTCCCCCTTGGTTGAGCTTGCACGGACTCTGACTCTCCTACACATTGTCCTTAGCTGCTCTCTGAAACTGGGAAGAAAGACTCCATTAGTTCTCCCACCCCCAAATCATGCATTTTTCATGCTCCCAAACCAGTACTACATGGATGATATATATGATTTGCCCAGTTCTGCTACCAGCTGGAGATGGAGGCCAGCTGGAGATGGAGGCCAGCTGGAGATGGAGGCCAGCTGGAGATGATGGAGGCCAGCTGGAGATGATGGAGGCCAGCTGGAGATGATGGAGGCCAGCTGGAGATGATGGAGGCCAGCTGGAGATGATGGAGGCCAGCTGGAGATGATGGAGGCCAGCTGGAGATGATGGAGGCCAGCTGGAGATGATGGAGGCCAGCTGGAGATGATGGAGGCCAGCTGGAGATGATGGAGGCCAGCTGGAGATGATGGAGGACAGCTGGAGATGATGGAGGACAGCTGGAGATGATGGAGGACAGCTGGAGATGAAGGCCAGCTGGAGATGATGGAGGCCAGCTGGAGATGATGGAGGCCAGCTGGAGATGATAGAGGCTGGTCCCTTTGGATGACAACTGCAACAGAGTCTGTGCTGATTCCGGGGAACGTTTTTCTCAGCAGTTGCTTTTGAGGGGCAGGGGGCCCCTTCAGCTTAGGCTTTATTCTTCTAAATGAATCTAGATCTTCATAAGACAGAGCCTGGGGTGGGGGTGGTTCCCGACACCATACCTTTCTTATTGCCCAAGTGCAGTGGGACAATTAACCTGTTTCTATTCCTCTACATTCTGCCACATAGCTTTCCTCCATTCTGTATGTCCAACTCCCTCTGTGTCTGGATGGCGTCTCCTGCCGTGCCAGATTCTTTTTTTTTTTTTTTTTTTTTTTAAGGTTTACTTATTTATTATGTACACAGTGTTCTGCCAGCATGTATGCCTGCAGGCCAGAAGAGGGCAACAGATCTCATTATAGATGGTTTGTGAACCACCAGTTGGTTGCTGGGAATTGAACTCAGGACCCCTGGAAGAGCAGCCAGTGCTCTTGACCTCTGAGCCATCTCTCCAGCCCCAATGCCAGATTCTAACCCCTGAGTTCCTCTCTCATTGCCCAGAAGTCTCCTATTCTCTCCTGCCTAACTCTTGGCTATTCATCTTTTTATTAAACAAATCATGTGCCTTAGTCAGGTGAGGCAAAACATAGACAAGTCTTCACAAAGTATAAGCTTATATCCCACTACATTTTTCCCCTTTTGTCTAAATAAAAAGGAAAGGTTTTTAACTCTAACACAGTAAGACTATGTACAATAAGAACAACTATCAGGTAAGGTTTACATTCACAATGTCCAGTCTGTTTATATTTGGCAAATTCAGAGATATTGCTCCATTATCTATCCTATCTTGATGAGTCCAAAGTTTTATACCTAAACCGCTTTCTATTATAACTTGTATCACCATCCTAAAAATATCTTTTTAGACCTTAAAACATCTTCTTAGATAAACAACTTAAGCTTTTATGTTTTGCAACCTTATAAACTTAACATCTCTTATGTAAGTTTCTTTTCTGAATTTGGTAACAAGGAAAACTGAAACTTACTGTCTCCGACTCCATCAAAGACTCAAGAAGGATATAATACTAGCTGAGTAAACAGGAAATGCAGAGTAAGCAACTTCAAAATGACAGAAATAGCTGCCTGCATGGACAGTCACCCAAGGTTCCTCTGTAACACTGGGGCGTCCATCTTCAGCCTACAGGACTAGCATATCTGATAGACTTTTCCGTAAAGCAGGAATTTTGAAGGACTATCCTACCTTGTCTTGGCAAAGTTCAGCTGAAGCTTTCTTTTGTGTCCTGCTGATCCAGTTTGGACAGCATACTGTCAGCAGTTGAGGCCAGGGCAGTTTCTTGCCCAGTGGCTAACTTTGCCACAAATGAAAGCAAACTCTATGTGGAGGTTCTCTAATGTCCATGATACTTTTTTGAACTAGATTGGTGCTGCAGGGAGCAGACGTGTCTCACTGTCATGAAAAATCTATGTTATCAAAACGTCTTTTTGGGGCAGGTGAATCCCCCGTGTGCAGAGGGTGCGGAGGCAGAGGTTGTCGGGCAAAGCGGGCGAGGCCACCTCCTCCCCTCCAAAGCCAAGGCTTCCAAACTCCTGTGCTGCAGTCATCCTCGGACCACCCGACTTGGGTTAAGGGCACCGTATGCTAGAGGATGCCCAGAACTTTGGCCTCCAGCATCTCTCCAGCGGCCACTTCTTGCGGGAGAACCTCAAGGCCAGCATGCAAGTTGGTGACACGGCAAAGCAGTACCTACAAAAAGGTCTTTTGGTTCCAGATCATGCGATCACACGACTAATGGTGTCAGAACTGGAGACCCGGAGCACACAGCACTGCCTACTAGATGGCTTCCCGAGGACATTAGAACAGGTAGAAGAAGAAGCCTTGGACAGAATCTGTGACCTAGTGATCAATTTGAATATTCCCTTTGAGACACTTAAAGACCTTCTGAGCCGACGATGGATTCACCCTTCTAGCGGGAGTGTCTATAATCTGGACTTCAACTTACCTCAAGTGCTGGGGGTTGATGACATTACTGGTGAGCCACTTGTCCAACAGGAAGATGATAAACCTGAAGCAGTTGCTGCCAAGCTACGGCAGCTCAAGGATGCGGCAAAACCAGTCATCGAACTATACAAGAGCCAAGGGGTGCTCCACCAGTTCTCTGGGACGGAGACTAACAAAATATGGCCTTATGTTTACACACTTTTCTCAAACAGGATCACACCTATTCGATCCAAAGAAGCATACTGAGCCTGCCATCGGAAAAACCAAGAAGACATGGTTGTTCACTCAATCATGCGATTCGTCCTGGTGCCCTGGCCAAATTAGAAGCTAGCTGAGATAGCTTGCAGCATCTTTTCTAGTTTAAGTGATGAAGGAAGGAGGAAAACCTAGTGGGTAGAAAAAATTCACGAAGAAGAAATGCTCCTCCTGCCTTTGAAAAGAAGCTGTAGCTCTCCCAGTGGGAAAGCAAGTCTAGACTGGATGTCCACCGGCACTGAGCCTACACTCTCATGGGTTGACAGCCATATGCTGCTATCCTAGCCTTTTTGCATGCAAAGGTGGTGGAATCCTTGGTTCATGCCACCTTCCACAGGCTGTTGAACCACAGTACTATAAGCCTGAGAACTTGGAGGGCTGTGGTTCCAGCTTGTCCCCTGCCATATCCTCTTGATGACAATTGAATTGATGCTAATTGCACTCAGCGACTGTTTCTCCCTCCCATCTTAGTCATCCTAGTTTCTGCTGACTGTGTCTTTTCTCATCCGCTTGCTCTCTTCATATGCTACTCAGTAACATGCTAGTTTCTGCATTTTTCCCTCTAACTTCCTTCTACAAGCTGAGAACTTGTAGAAGGGGACTAGATTCAGGGGACTAGATTCAGTCCCTTCGTACTTGGAACTGAGCCAGGCTGCTCTGCCTATCTTGAACCCACTCTGTACCTTTCATTGTTTAAAAAAGATTCCCCGAAGTCTCTGGGAGTTCTCAAAAGAAATGTGGGATGATCACATCTTCTGTATAGAAGTAATTGTATGGAAATCATTGGACCAATGCCATGGGTTAGGCTTCTTTACTCAAGGCAAGATGAGTATTGAACTTGCTGCTAAATATTAATGATGACAGTGTTGTCCTTCTGTGAGTGATACAAGCAGATGGTAAGAAGTCAGTAAAGGGATGGTAAAAGTCAGTAAAGCCTGTAGGCGTGGAGCATTCTGCACTAGATTTCCATTGCATCTGCATTGAGAACTCATTGTGGGAACTCAGAATCTTTCTGTTTTCTTCCTATTCCAAAGATGCAGTCTATAGGTGGCCATAAAGTCCAGAAATGAAGATGCTAATATTTTGTCAATCATCACATGTCAATAAAGCATTTGTTAAAAGACAAAAAACAAACAAACAAACAAACATCTTTTTGTTGTTGTTGTTTTGTTTTTCGAGACAGGGTTTCTCTGTGTAGCTTTGGAGGCTATCCTGGAACTAGCTCTTGTAGACCAGGCTGGCCTTGAACTCACAGAGATCCACCTGCCTCTACCTCCCGGCTGGAGTAGTCTGTGAGGCTGGACCCTCTCACCTAGCAGTTTTGAAGTTGTCCTGGATGTAGATTTTTGAGGAAACTGTAGCAGAGGCATTCTGAGAGGCTGATCACCTGGGCTACATACTTCTTGTCTTCATTGGTGTCTGGTCCTTTTGTTCTGAAAACACATAAAACTTTTAAAGGTAACACAACCTCTGCATTAACCCAAGTATGCAATGTGCAGTGTGCACAAGTCAGCTAAAGATGACTCTGCTCTATGTTTTGTTTTGTTTTGTTTTGTTTTTGAGACAGGGTTTCCCTGTAGCTTTGGAGGCTGTCCTGGAACTAGCTCTTGTAGACCAGGCTGGTCTCGAACTCACAGAGATCCACCTGCCTCTACCTCCCAAGTGCTGGGATTAAAGGCGTGAGCCACCAACACCGGGCTTCTGCTCTATGTTTGAGCAGGTAAAAAGCATATAAGTCTGCTTGGACTGTATAACCAACTGTAATATAAATCTCCATCCATGCCATATGAAAGGAGGGTGTGTAATAATAAGCCATGAGGACTCTGTAGCCAACATTTGTCATGTCTCATCCATTCTCAGAGCTGTTGTCATACTAGAGGGATTAACATATACATCACCTGTCTTGTGGTCTTCCTTCCTTCCTTCCTTCCTTCCTTTCTTTCTTTCTTTCTTTCTTTCTTTCTTTCTTTCTTTCTTTCTTTTTTCTTCATGTCTGTAGCCAAGATTTTCAGGAGGTCTCCCCAAGACAGGATTTCTCTGTGTAGCCCTTGCTGTCCTAGGACTCATTCTGTAGACCAGCTGGTCTCGAACTCACAGAGATCCGCCTGCTTCTGCCTACTGAGTGCTGGGATTAAAGGCGCACACACTGGAGAGAGGGCTCAGAGGTTAAGAGTGCTTGCTGCTCGTCCAGAGGACCAGAGTTTCATTCCAACATCCACAAACACCTGCAACTTCTGCTCCAGATGATCTGACCCTTTCTTCTGTTCTTTGGGAGTACTCACAATTATTTGCACACACACACACACACACACACACACACACACACACACAGTCTCAGTGACTCACAGGACAAGTGTCAGCTGCACACACACACACACACACACAGACAAACACACACAGACAAACACACACACACACATACACCCCATTTGCATAATTGAAAATAAACAAAATGCTGAGTGTGGTGGTGCATTCCTTTAATCCCAGCACTCAGGGGGCAGAATCAGGCAGAGGCTGGAGGTTCTCTGTGAGTTCGGGGCTAGCCTGGCCTACATAGTGACTGCCAGGGCTATGTAGAGAGAGACCCTGTCTCAAAAAAGAAAATGAAAACCGAACAAACAAAAAAGGCATGTGTCACCATGACTGGCTTTATATTTTTAATTTTGCAAACATGATTTTTTATTGATTCTTTGGGAATTTCACATCATGCACCGAGATCCCACTCATTTCCAGTCCCTCTGCATCCCACCCTTCACCCCTGCAGCATCCCCTCCCAAAGGAAAATTTAAAAAAAATAATGAAAACGAAACAAACAAAAATCCCCACACTTCTCTCCCCGTGTCCCCCACCTCTCCGTTTGTTTTAGTATCATGGGGAACTGCTGTGTACCATGGAGCCCACGCCCCCTTTGTCCAAACAGCTTTACTTGCAGATGTTCGTTGCAACGAGTTGTTGGTCTGGTTCAAGGCCTCTGGCTTCTGGGACCCCATCAATACTGGACATTCACTGTAACTCCCCTGCCTGGGACATTCTGCTGTGCCCCAGTCATGGAGATCCTGTGGCTATGATTTCACAGGACCAGTCCCTTTACACTCTCTAATAGGTCATAGACGGGGTAGATGTTGGGATGGGCCAACTCAAAGCCCTGGATGTGGCCCTAACTTTTTAATTGTTTTAAAAAATGTTTCTGTTTTGGGGTGTTTTGCCTATATGTTTGTCTGTATACCACTGTGTGCCTGGTGCCCACAGAGTCCATAATAGGGCATATGAGCCACCATGTAGGTACTAGGAATCCAAATCATACCCAGATCCTCTGATAGAGCAGACACTGCTGTCAATCTCTTAGCCATCTTTCCCAGGCCTGATCAGACCTTTAAAAACTATATGGTAGGGGCTGGGGAGATGGCTCAGAGGTTAAGAGCACTGGCTGCTCTTCCAGAGGTCCTGAATTCATTTCCCAGCAACCACATGGTGGCTCACAACCTTCTGTAATGAGATCTGGCACCTCTTTCTGGCCTGCAGTGATACATGCAGGCAGAACACTGTATACATAATAAATAAATTAATCTTAAAACAAAACAAAACTGTATTGTAGGGCTGCCTGATAGCTCAGTGGTTAAGGAAGGACGCTTGCTGCCAAGTCTGAGAACTTGAGTTTGATTCCCCAGAACTCACAGGGAAGGAGAGAAGAAACTCTAGCAAGTTATCCTGTGACCTCCACACTCAAGCCCCAGCACATACATATGCATTTGCGTACACAAACAAATACGTATACATGTAATAAAAAATGTGAAAAGATCTTTCCTGACAATCAAGGCTTTGAGATACAACCTTCGAGGCTATTTACCGAGTGAGCATTACGCTGCAAAGAAATACTTTATTAATGACTCACCCTGCAGCGGCTCTGCTGACTCCACCAGTTTCATGGTGTAGTAAGGAATGGCTGTAGCTAGTGTGAAAAGCAAATGCTGCTTTTAGTGTCTTATTCTTCTAATTACAGCTGGTACTTGTGACATGCCTTACATCCTTGTTATGGGGATTCCTAAAGGCTGAATCACCATGGCAATCCTCCTGGGTCTGAGTCATTACTCAGACCCTGCAGAGCAAGAGGACTTTTTTTTTTCTGGAACCACCAGGAAACAGAATCTTAACTTAGTTGTTCTCATTTGGTATTTTAAGCCAGTGTCCCCAACTGAGACATATAGTTCTTTGCTCTTTTGAGCAGTGGGACTTGATAATGTTTTCTCCAGTGGCTGAGATGGCTTTGATCCTAAGTTCTGTAGTGCTAGGTCACAGGTCATTATGAGTCACTGGCTAAATACTTGTCAGGTCCCAGGGGCTGCTCTGGGTGTTGAGCATGGTAAATAAATCGGTTAGAATTTATTACTCCTCAGATTTAGAGATGGTCTACTGAGAGTTGCAGGCTGGGCCAATTTAACCGGACTCAGTAACTATAGCACAGAGTCAGAGCCCAAGGACTACGGATGACTATGTTAAGTCAATGGCTGACATTATCCACTGTTTAATTCAGATACCACGGAATTAGGCTGGGCAGTGGTGGCACACGCCTTTAATTCCAGTACCGGAGGCAGAGGCAGGTGGATCTCTGTGAGTTCAAGGCCAGCCTGGTCTATGGAACGAGTTTCAGGACAGCCAGAGCTACACTAAGAAACCCTGTCTCAAATGAACGAACAACGAACGAACAAACAAACCCCCAAACAGAACAAAGCAAAACAAAAGATACTGTGGAATTATGCTATAAATGATACCATGTTTTCCACTATGTTCTTATTTATTTATTTTTTGTTGTTTAATTTTAGTGTGCATGTATGAGGGGTGTGTGTGTGTGTGTGTGTGTGTGTGTGTGTGTGTGATGACGTGTGCGGAGCTCAAAGAACAACTTTCAAGAGTTGGTTCTCCTTTCATCTTCTTGAGGCAGGGTCTATTTCTGTTGTGCTGTGAAGCAAGGCTAGCTTCACTGTGTGCAGCTGTCTTACGAGGACTCTAGGGCTTGAGCTCAGGTCGCTGGATGTGCACGGCAAGTGCCTTTATCCACTCATCCATCTTGCGGGTCCTGTCTCTACTAAAAGTGTCCTTCTTTTGAATTAAAAATCTGTAGGATCAAATGCAGACATGCTTAAGGAGAAGTTAAATTTCTTTCTCACTTCCTGCTTTCAAGTGCATTGTAAAATGCTAGCTGTGTGTCCTCTTTTTCTAAGTTCTCTGTGTGTAGTTAAGTCTATGAGTGTTGTGTTAACACCATTGTCATCTTGAGAGGATCACCCAGGAGACAAATCCTACACTGTTTTTTTTCTTACTTGAGAAATAACTTGGCTTATATCAAATGAAAAACTTGTATATGTTATCTTGTACCTAGCATCTTGGGTGCTTCTTAAATTGTGCAGTGTGACGTGGTGAAAGTGTTACTGCAAAAAAGATGAGACAAGAGATGCTTACCCTGGCTGCTTCATCTACTATGTGTAGACAAATGAATCATTATGACCGGGACGAAAGTCTCTCACATGCAAAACACAAGACTTATGCTTAATGCCACTCGGGGCCATTTGAGCTAAGAAATAATATGCAAGCAATGATTCAAATCTCATAATTTTTATTATTCCCATGTAGCAGTGTCAGGGGTTAGGGGTTTTCTTTTCTTTTTTTCTTTTTTTTGTTTGTTTGAGACAGGGTTTCTTTTGTAACCTTGGCTATCTTGGAACTGGCTCTATACACAAGGCTGGCCTCAAACTCACAGAGATCTGAATAAGATTCTGAACCCCCAAATCACCAAGAGACCTGTTTATTAAGGTACTTATACCTTAATAAATACCACTGGTAAATGCTGTTCTGGACAAATTAAGTTAGAATTTACAAACTTGTTAAAAAAAAAAAACTTTTTTGTGTTGATAAAGAAGATTGGGAAAAGTCAATAATACCGTGACTCATTTTCATGTTTACATTTTGTCTAAAAGTAATCACAATTTGAAATGGTGAGGTTACATCATTTCCAAGAAAAGTGCTTTTATACAACCTCGATGAATCACACATATTCCTGGGAAGTCACATAAGAGAAAATCATTTTGATTTTTAGCAGCTAATCTGAACCTGTAAATTGTATAGCCACTACCCTCTAGTGATGG